GCTTTATATTTTTTTTTTTTTTTTTTTTTTTTTTGTGGATACTACTACTACACCCTTGACATTATAGTTAGTCTGTTTTGTACTAAATAAATCAAGCTGTTTCAAAATTTCCTATAAGAACACATCTTTCAAACACTTTTTCTCCTGCATTCTCTGGAACCTTTTCAGTTTTTCTACATTTCTTTTTTTTTTAATGTGGTGCTTTGGGCCAGGTATATTACTACAGCTGAGACATTATCAGCACGGAATCTGAGAATATTTATATTCAGGCTCTTTAAATCTGATCTCTTGATGATGTAATTCCAAAGTGAATGTGCTTCTCTTTTTTTTTTTTTTTTCAGTTGATATATTTTCTGAAGTTTAATGAACAATCTGTTTTCAGAGCAAAGTCATTCTAGTGTGGAGATCAACATTTATTACTCTTTTTATCAATTTAGCGGGATATTATTTTTCAAAGGAAAACATAACTTTTCAGATAGAGAAATAACTCAGGGAAGTATTTTACTGCCTATGGGCCAAAAACTTAGTTCAGAGCCAAGCCAAATAACAGTGCTTTCCTATGGTGACCACCTGAAATGAGTACACTTGCATTCACATGGCAGATCCTAAAATGAAAGCTAATAAACCTCTGACCTCCATGGAGATTGCAGCCACAGTGTTTTTAACAGCAATGCAACTCCCATTACAAATAAGTTTACACCTCTGACGTATTCAAACAAAGGAAGGATTCAATATTTCCCTGCTAGAAATAACCAGAACATCTTTGATTTAAAAAAATATTCTTATTAACAAAAACCTTTTAGGTTTTTCTTAAGAAATAAAGAAATAAAAGAAATAAAAATAAAATAAAATAAAATAAAAAATTAAAAGTGAGAGGAAGAGGTAATGAAGGGCACAACAACATTTAAAGGTACACTTTCCAAGTCAAATTTAAAATCCTTTGGGGATTTTTATGCACAAATAAGGCTGTGAATTGATATGGAGTTCGGCCAGAAAGCAAAGTATTTTGTATTTCTGTTTATTCACTCCGCTGTGGGAGTACAGCAAGCCAATCCATGCAGAACCTGATTTATACTTTCAAAATATATTTAATCTTTAATAATAATAATAATAATAATAATAATAATAAAACCACCCAATAAATGTTTCATTTAACTTTGGCAAGACTATATAAATTTACAACTGTCTGCAGTTATCAAATTCCAATTATTTATGCAAAAAACAAAGAGAAACATATTGAATTAATTGCTTGAATTAATCAATGTAAAAATATTTATTTTTCAGCAGAAGAAACAAACTAAAAAATAGATATAAAGGTGCAATTTTGTTGCCTATAACAAATTGTCCATAACGACTGTTGACTGTAACGTAGTAGACGGGATCTAGGGATTCCCCACAGAAGCATCCTTAATTTGTGAAGCTTAGCAGTGGACATCTGCTGCTGAAATAAGTTGTCTGCACAGCTTTATATTTCAGATAAAGGTTGCTGAGAAAGCTTTGTTATTTTTCCAGCAATCTAGTAAGTGGTATTATGGTAAGCAGAGTATTTTTTTTTTCTAATCTTCTTTCAGCAAAATAAAATTAAAAAAAAAAATAATCAGGATACATTATTTGCCACAGTATTTGCAAAGGTAAAGAAAATACATCGTTTTATTCCTGAATATTATATAGAGATTAACAATATTACTATGTTTTCTGAAAAGCTGGCCTTCTAAAATGTCAATTTAGAAGAGTTTAGAAATTACAATATGGTAATATTCTTTACAGGAATTGTCCTTAGAAACTACATCAAAAGAAATAAAGCTTAAATTGAAACATATTTGTTTGCCATATGTGCCTTTCCATTCAAAACTTGCAAAAAAAAAAAAAAAAAAAAAGTCTTCCCATGTCCTACCAAAATCAGGATCACTCTTCTTGAATATCAAAGTAGAGTTGAATGACATTACACATAGCTTATCATTAACAGCATTAACAATAAGCGACCAACTGTCGCCTACTAATAACCATTTATCTTTGCTGGCCCAAAGACAAAGATGTGCAGGTTTTAGTTAAGCTTACAGAAAGCATGCTGAATTTTACAACTTTGATCTTTGAACGTGGTTGAAAAGTGTCACAGTACTAACAATCACAAAAGGTCTCAATATTTCCTGGGCTTATATCATCTGAAATGTCACTGTACACTCCCCAGATGAGACAGGCAGCAACATCAGTCATCAGGATATGGCAGTAAGCCACAACAGGGGAGAAGGAGTAGGAACTGGAAATCCATAATAAACAAACCAGTGAAAGGCACAGTTGTCTCTGATTACTGAGGGATACCGCATAGTTTTATGGCTGTATACAATATAGGTATGAATTTTTGCGCAGGATTACCATCTCAGTTCAAGACAAAACAAACAGACAGTAAAACTGCTAATGTTTTCAAATATTTTTACAGTGGGAAATGGATTAATTGATCCCCAGTACTTAAATTGGAGTTAATGTATTCATGTACTACGTAACGGCAGAGAATCATTCAAAGTGCTTTTGAGTTTCATCCTTGTGCTGTGTTATTTGAATTTTTTAAAAGTACCTGACGTCTTTTCTGCTGTGTCATACTACAATCAAGGATTTATTGTGCCAGAAGAATTATTCAGAATTATTTAGAATCAGATTGCTTTAGATCACAAGATTCATTCTTCTACTTAAGCTCAAAATCGAATGAACAAACAAACCCCAAAAGCAAAGGAAAAGTGCAGAAGTGAAGAATGCTCTGTGGAATTTACTCTGTATCTGTCCTATTATACAGGTTGGGAAATTGATCTAATTCATCCACCAGAGAACTGCTAAGGAGAGCCCAAGAATTAAATAGGGTTTACATTCTGGAGCAAATACTAGCAAAGAAACATCTTAAAGAGCCATGTTATTTGGTTAATCCAAATACTAATTCTGTACGGTAAAATTACTTGAGAACAAATAGAAATGAATGCAAATATGTGAATTCTGAGTATACCATCTAACTTCAGAT